TTACTTTTGTAATAAAAAAACTTTTGCAAAAAGTAACTTTGAATGAGCCTGTTGCCTTTAGACATTGGAAAAAAAAAAAAAAGCACATAAAGAGAAAGAGAGAGCTTGTTGCCTTTGGACGGTAAGAAAAAAAAAGAAGGCGCAGAGAGAAAAAGAGAGAGCATGTTGCCTTTAGACGGTGAGAAAAAAAAAAAGACGCAGAGAGAGAAAGAGAGACTCACTGAGAGACGTTCTTCACACAAAGAGAGAAAGAAAGACTCAAAGAGAGAAAGAAAGACTCAAAGAGAGACAACAGGATGACCAGAAAGCAGAAAATAGGTTAGAAAAACTCAGATCTGAACGGTGGAACTTCAACGGATCTTATTCGAGTTTGAGGCAGTTACAGATTCATATCGTTTTCAGATGGCGGTTTCTTGGTTCACAAATCTGAAAATAGGTGATTTCAGATGGTGGTTTCAACTCCCGAGATTTAGATGGCGGTTTTTAAATGAGGTTTCCCGCAGATCAGATGGTGGTTTTGGCAGTTTTCAAATGGTGGTTTCAGATCTAGTGATTTGAGTGGTTTCTGGGTTTGTAAGGTGGTTTTGGTGTTGTAGCGTGATTTCGCAATATTTACAAGGTGGTTTTGGTATTTGCAAAGCGGTTTTTGGCAGGGTGGTGTTTGTAGGGTGGTATTGTAAGCAGTATTCAAATGTCGGTTTCAGAAGAGTGGTATTGCAAGGCCCGCTAATCCTTGCTCTGATACCATGTAGAGAAATATAGTATTTTTGTATATTAAAATTGTGTATAGGCACCCTCAATTTATACGGTTACAAACCAGTATAGAATAAATAACTTTCCTAATATGAGTACACAGAAAAGGAAAGGAAATATTGTATAGCGGTAATATTTACAGGTTACAATAATTTCACATAGAGTAACAGAAGTGTCAGACACAAATAGGGATGAAAATTGCCAAAAGCGCCATCTGAACTTTGAGAAACCGCCTTTAAAAACCGCCACCTAAACCTTGGAAGTTGAAACTGCCATCTAAAAATCACCTATTTTCATATCTGCGAACCAAGAAACCATCATCTAAAAACGATCTAAATCTGTGACTACCTCAAATTCGAACAAGATCCGTTGAAGATCCGTCATTTAGATCTGAGTTTTTCTTACTTGTTTTCTGCTTTCTGACCATCTTGTTGTCTCTCTGTGAGTCTCTCTTTCTCTCTCTGTGTCAATAACGTCTCTATGTGAGTCTCTCTTTCTCTCTATGCGCCTTCTTTTTTTTTCTCACCGTCTAAAGGCAACAGGCTCTCTCTTTATCTCTTTGTGCCTTTTTTTTTCTTTTTTCTCACTGTCTAAAGGCAACAGGCTCTCTCTTTCTCTCTCTGCTCTTTCTTTTTTTTTTTCCACCATCTAAAGGCAACAAGCTCATTTAAAGTTATTTTTTGTAAAAGTTCTTTTTATTACAAAAATAAGAGGGATCAACTTGGTCAATTTATAAGCGATGAACCATATTATTTCAACCTTACCACCTAGGGGTTTTTGCATAATTTTGTATCTCTCTTGCTGTCTGTATCAGTCCTTATTATACCGATTTCTCCATAATGGAAAGTCGGATTCTTATTAGCTTGTACCACTTAAACTCAATGGAAATAATGACACTTTTTGAGCTTCTTTTATGAAAAATGGTATTTATGGAAAAAAACTGTTAGGATATATATATATGGACCTGGACAAAAACTACATGATCCAAAAAAGCTAGCTGAATGGGGAGTCAATAATGCTAGGATAATAGCCTGGTTGAGGGGTTTGTAGAGAGCAATATTAGGGTCAATTTACGTACTTTTCAGAATGCTAGAGAGGCATGGGTTTTTTTAGAAGAAATCTATCATCAAACTACTGGGTAAGGAAGTATCATTTAGTACAGGAACTTCGTTCACTCCGCCAAGGTGACCAATCCAATCAGGACTTTTATTCTACCATGAAAGTGCTTTGGGATGCCTTAGCCCTTAACCTAAAATCACTGATGGATCCAACATAAAGATTGTCGAAAAATCAAGAAATGAGTTCAGAATGATTGAGTTCTTAATGGCACTTCGACCTGAATTTGAGAGTGTCAGGAATGCCATTCTGCACAGAGCCACTCTTTGTGCTCTCACTCATGCTATTTCTGAGTTGATTACAAAAGAGACTAAGATCAAGTCTCTTAGTATTGTTTCAATGGGGGAATCAACTTTTGATGCAACTCAAAATTTCGAATACAAGGAGCCTAAACAGAGTTCTTCTTATATGCCTCACAAGGATATGTCCTCTGTTAAATAGAATTACTATAAGGAACTTGAGCATATGAAATTCACATGCCCAAAGAAGAAGAAGAAACATGTTATTGCAGTTGCTGCAGAGTCAAGCCAGACCTACGAAAGATACATTCATGATCTATCTGCCATGTTTGTTGTTGTTGCTCCGTCTTTAATAACTCTTACTGTACCGCAATTACAGTCTATGCTCTCTCAATCCCGACTTCCTTCTAAATCCAACCCATCCACTGCAGGTAATAGTATTTCTACTTCTTGGTTGATAGACTCTAGTGCTTCTCGGCACATGACTGCCAATGAGTATATTCTAGCTCATTGTAAACCTTTTTCTAATACTATTCAAACTGCTGATGGGGTCATTATGAAAGTCTCTAAAGTTGCCTCTATTACCACTTATTCCGATCCCTCTGCTAAATTACATATTTCTGGTGGTTATCATGTTCCATATATCAGTATGTTCTGTTGGTCAAATTACTCGCTCCAATTGTAGTGTTATCTTTTCTCCCTCTCGTTGTTATGTGCAAGATCAACGGTCAGGGAAAATGATTAGGCCTAGGTATAAAATTGACGACCAGTACTTCCTAGACTACCTTTATTTGGCAACATCTCAGTTAGTGCCATGTTTACTCTTGACGATACTACTTTATGGCATCAATGTCTTGGTCATATTTCTGCTTCTAAGTTCAGTTTCTATTATCTCATGGTGTTCTTAGTCCCACTAATAAAGTGTCGGTTGATGTAAAACATTGTGAACCATAAAAGCTTGCTAAGTCTCATGCATTATCATTTAATAGTAGTAGTACAATTTCCACTTCTAAATTTGATCTTGTACATATTGATGTATGGGAGCGTGCTCCTATTTCTTCAAAAGAGGGTTCACGATACTTTATTACCAGTATTGATTATTACACTCGATATACATGAGCGTGTTTTATAAATAGTCGCACTGAACTTTTTGATAAATTTACTAAATTTTACTCCTATGTTGAAACTCAATTTTCTATCAAAATTAAAACTTGGCGCTCAAATTCTGGTGGAGAGTATAGTAGTGAGATGTTTCAAAAGTTCCTTTCAGATAGAAATATCCAACATAAAAAATCTTGCCCTTATACTCCTGAATAGAACGGTGTTGCTGAACATAAAAATCGTCATCTTTTAAAAACCACAAGTGGTCTTCTTTTGTCCAACTTTGTTCCAAAGTCATTTTGGGTTGAAGCAGTTTGCACCGCTGTCAACCTAATAAACATTATGCCTTCTTATGTTTTTTCTGGATACTCACCTTTTGAGCAACCTTTTTGGCTATGATTTTGCATCAAGGCAAAGATTGTTGGGATGGTGATGCAAAATCACCTCCCATTTAACTTATGGCACTTCTCTCATCACAAGGTCATTTTTGGTCAATATGAAAAGCACCTTTTTTCATGGAGGCCGTATAACCTCATTCTTGGGTGTTGGATTTCTTGGAATCAATTTGCCCATGATTGGCAAGTTAGTTTTGAGGTATTAGATTTGTTGTAGTGGGGGGTTCATCGCAGCAAGGTGTAATTCAAGTGGCATCGATTCCCCACAAGTGGTATCAGAGCTCAAGGGAAGTGTGGGAACCGAGGCTACATAGATTACCCTTATTGCAGTGAACCCCCCACTACAACAAATCTAATACCTCGAAACCAACTTTTCAATCACCGGCAAATTGATTCCAAAAAATCCAACACCCAAGAATCAAATATATGGTATACTAAATTTAGTAAAAACATGATGAAATGAAGATAAAGTAAAATAGGGACTCTAATGGCACAACCACACACTACAAACCATAATCAAAGCACCATAAGATTCACTTAAAATCAGGCTACATCCAACCGACAAGGAAATGATTCACTATCAATGAAAAAAATTTACAGATTTATGGGTTTTGTAAAGATTACCTCATACAATAGTAAAGAAAGCTCAAATAGATTTTCCTACCACAATAATATCATTGATCGACTCCTTGCTTTGTCTATGTCGACTAGCAATGAAATCCCGATGAAATCCAACCCAAAAACTAATCGACACTTTTCTTTTTCTCTCCACAAAGAGCTCCCTCACTTAAAAACCCCACGTCTCTCTCTAAATGGATTATGGCCCTTGTAATAAGATAAATGTCATAGGTTGAATGGGAGGTGATTTTGTATCACCATCCCAACATTATCCCTATTCTTCAAAGGCCAAATAAAACAATGTGTAAGGTCTCATTTATGTGGAAATAAAAAGCCATAACTCTCCTACTCAAGATCACTGTATCTCACATAACCTTATATTGTCCAAAATACTAATGTTAATGCATCATTAATCCTTGTTTTATTATATTAATCCACCACTAATCTATCTCACTACCAATCACTCTCTTACATCACCTTGTCCAAATACACTTCAAAAGAAACCATAAATTATATTTCAAATTCAATTCTCAAAAACCAAAAAGGAAAAGAAAAATCACTTTCAATGGAAAAAAAAAAGGATAAAAATGAAGTGTTTATCTTGGAATAGTATCAGTCAATTTCTTGAAACAGATTCAATAAAATGCTCATAAATTCCTCAGAGATCGAAAGATTAGCAATAGAGCATGAATGTCCACAAACGTGAATAGGAAATTTTATAAGAAACCCTAAAAACACGAGAAAATCCCCAAAAAAAGGGAAAAATGCCAAATGTTACCTGAACAGACTTTTGATAGAGGAGGAACTTTGAAGGATTATCTTCCGAATAAGGACCATTATGCTCTCCTTCTTCTTCTGCTGATTTTTCTCTCTCTTCTTCTGATTCTTCTTCTTCTCTCTGGTTTGGGTCATAGGCAGAAGAAGGGAGAGAATCTTCTTCTACACAGCGAGACGGTCGCCTTTGATTATTCCCATGCTTCTTTCCCTGTTTCTTCCCCATGCTCTTCCCTCCCTCTCTCTCTCTCTCTCTCTCTAAGCCAGTGGTCAGTGGCTCATGCCGCCCTGTATGGATGTAGAGAAGCAGACTAGGCCTTGTTAGAGAGGTTTTTTAGTGGGCTTTAGGACGTACAGGACTATGCTTTCTCTCTCTTCGGTCTCTCTCTCACACACACAAAGCTAGAAGAATATGGCTGTTGCTCACTGGTTTCCTCCCAACATGCAGAGGCATGGGTTGAAGGTCGGTTTCAAATGGGAGCATGGCAAAGTATAACGTATGCTATGGTCCAAGGGACTTGTGTACACATTGCAATGTACCATACACCAAAGCATCGCAAGTCACGAAGTTGGAAAAATTATTATTTTTTTAACATATATATTCAATGACACTTTTAACCGCCGAAATTTAAGGGATAAAAAATGATAGTAACCTCTATTCATAAAAGATAAAAAAAAAAAAATTATATAAAGATGCAACTATAAAATATAGAATTAAAGTTGCACCGTAAAAATCTATTAGAAAATAATTTAATATTGAAAAACCCTCTAATTGATCATCACGACATCCAGATTTAAGAATATGAAAAAAAATGATTTCGAGTCCCAAAAATAGTGCAATTGCAACACATTATCTAAACCATTCATTTTCAAGATTTTCATATATTTATACATCTACTTGATTTGAATTATTTTTGGCGTTTAAAATTCTATAATTAGAGTTCAAAATAGATTTTCAGACAATTCTATAGATTTTTTGCACCAAAATTACCTTTTATGATAACATTTGGAGGTGCATTCTAATTTGATTGTTTATGGTTGCAATCTTATAAAAAGGACATAGTTTTATGAGTCCCTGTAGAAATGAATCACCTCTTAAAAATTTATTTTGAAATGGATTTTTGGACCTATTTTTTAAAGACATGTAATCTGTAACACAGAGATCATGAATATAGAAAAATAAATAAATCTTAAAAATTAAAAATAATAATTCTATTAAAAAAACATTTGGACCGCTAGTTTCAATTATTTTTAGATAGACCACTATTTGCATTCATCTTTAAAATGGATGCTTTATACTTCGGGGACTACAAATGTTAAAATGTGGTCCCAGTCGGATGAAAGTTTTTCTTGTAAGAAGGATGAAGCTTCTTTAATGCCTAAGCTTTATAGAAACAAAATAAAGTATCACTTCAAATTCTCTTTTGGAAAGTACTTTTGGCAAAAAAAATCTCCATGATGGATCTAAAATCAACTTCCAACATGGACACTAAAATTTAAAATAAAAAAAATGGTAAAGATCTTGTGGGACTGTGAGCACTTATTTTTAGGATGAAATGGACGATTTAAATAATTTGTTACAATATAACACTATTTTTAGAGCTTAAAATCCTGTTTTTTTTTTTTTCAGTTATAATGTTCAAGCCGAGATGATAGATGAAAGTTTTTCCCATGCTTGAATTGCAATTTTCGTTGAGTTATGACATGAAGATTTAATTATATTGATAGGCTAAAGCTCTATTAAACCATTTTCCTTATAAAAATCCTTGTATTTTATGCTCACCTCTTTTCTTTTTTTACTAAAGTATACCCTTTTTTAAAGAAAAAAAAAAAAGAGTTTTAGCATTACTTCATACCCTCAAGGCCCAAAATGAACGAATGAATTGCGCTTCAGACAATAAAGGTCTGAAGTGCGAGTCCAAAAATCAAGCGCACCTCACTAATGAAGGAGGCTACGTTGAAACATCAATCAAGGAATGGTTGAAACAACTCAATATTAATTGTTTAACTTTGGATTTTCAAAGTTGGAAGTAAGATACTGACTTTGGCTCTCAAAGGTTCGAATTACTCTCACTTCATATCTTCAAAGTCACTTGAAGTGCACTATTTTTTTTTTTCTTTTTTTTATTCGAAAGAAGTTATCCATTGAGATTGTGAAATTTTGGAAGGGGGAATTGTTGGACTTTGGTTGTGTGAAATGGGGGGAAAAAATAGTACGATTTGCAAAAATAAAAGCTCGAACTCTTCTTGTTTTCGATCACGCATGAGCGTTATCTCAAGATATATTTGCCCCATTTGATATAGTATTTGACGTACATAAGAAGGGCAATTCGTTCTCGACATACATGAAAACATAGAGGTCTTTTACAATATTACTAAGCTCTATGCACTCGAGCTTGGTACCCACACACTAGACACCAGAGTCTTGATGTATTAGATAGAGAGAGAGAGAGAGAGTTTAGCCCATTGGTTTGCTTGCTGGAATTACAGATGTTGAGAGGCTCAAAATTTGTTCTAAGTATCATTAAAATTGTATGGGTCGAGGGGCTCTTGTTATAGAGCATCGAGAAGCTGCCCATTTAGTATTGTGGAAGTTACATACACCACTCAATAATTACAAGTCACATACACCCCAACAGCTACAAGTTACATGCATTTGATGGTTGTTGTTACAAGCCTTCATCTTATCAATGGCTAGATGATTGTTGGATGTCTCACACAGATCAACGGCTAGATGACCGTTGGATCCATGTATGAGTTGGACTCAATAATTACAAGTTACATACACCCCAACAGCTACAAGTTACATGCATTTGATGGTTATTGTTACAAGCCTCCATCTCATCAATGGCTAGATGATTGTTGGATGTCTCACACAAATCAACGGCTAGATGACCGTTGGATCCATGTATGAGCTGGGCTCACAAAAAGATAGCGAGCCACGAGCCCAACCTATATAGGTACTCGGGCAAGGGGCAAAGTGCAAAGTACGCCATCGAGCATCCTTGCACCCACACTCTCACACACGCACACGCACACGCACAATTCATGTGCTCTACACATGCGCATTCTCTCTCATTTGTACTTAAAGTATATTATATGGGAATGTGTGTTGTTAAATACAACTCAACAAACTCTATCCTCTTCAATGTGGGATACAAACCCATATCCCTTCTCTCTCTACAAATGTAAATTAGGAAAGAAAAATAAAACCAAAGTTGTTTTGAAATACGCTTAAGCATTTTTCAAACAAAAAATACTAACAATTTCATCCACTATTTCAAAAGAACAAAACAAGAATAGAAAGTATATTATTGCGTACCATGAAAGTATTTTTCAATTTGAACTTTCACTTAGAGTGCACACTACAAAGTCCATCGAGTATTGTGATAGCGTATAGCTTTGAATCAGGTTGCTTATCTATTAGACCACTAATGTAGCTCACAAACAATATTCAACACTAGTGTCTCTTTAGTTGCCAATACGTTTTGGGCCTTGTGCTTATATCCCGATTTCATGAGTGCTCTAAAGACGAGTTCATCTCATAGAAAGCGGTCTCACTTCCACACTTATATATGTGTATTTATCAAGAGTACCCCTATATATAAAATACTTCAACTTATAAATATAATCCATAGACAACATTGAGAGCATAGCTCATCCGACTGACATACAGGTCTTCACTAAACTTATCTACCGTATGTATTTCCTTAGAATGGGTGCTATTGTAGAATAATCACTGCTTACCCAATTAACGTTTTAAGAGAGTTATATTTTCTCGTAATATGTGTAGATTTTCTATTGTATACATCATTACAAGCTCTCGCAATAATAGATTGATTATCACAATAAATTGTTCTTGTAAGTATTGGTTTTGGCCATATGGGAATATCATATAACAAATTATTTAGCCATTCGGCCTCTTTGCCAGCAGAGTCTAAAGCAATAATTTCATACTCCATAGTATAGTGCGGCACACATATTTATTTATTTGACCCCCATGATATTGCACCACCCGCTAATGTCAATATCCATCCACATGTTGATAGTGAATCTTGGATTTCATTATTCCAATTAGCATCACTAAACCCTTCCAACACTCTGAGATAACCTACATATTTTATGTCATAATTGATAATTCCTTTCAAGTATCTTAATACTCGAGATATAATATCTCAATGCTCTTTACTTGAGTAACTTGTATATCTACTAAATTTGTCAACCGCATATGCAATGTCAAGCCTCGTGCAAGTCATTACATACATCAAACTACCAATTACCCTAGCATATTCAAGTTGAGATATACATCTCTCATTATTTTTCTCTAACTTAATATGAGGATATATAGGGGTAGAGACAAGCTTTACTATCAGTATGTTCAAATTTACAAATTTTATTCTCATCACCTGGCATTACAAATGTGGCCTTGAAAGACCTTATGAGAGCTTGTATGAGCATTTTATATAGTGGAACATAAATCTAGTGGGTGTGTGGTCCTTTTGTGGACCATACTAGGCAAATGTTATTTTCTAATACTCGAACTAGGCTCGATGAGCTAGGTCAGCCGAGGTTTGGAAAAATCCAAGATACCTGGGCATAGGGATCTACCAATAAGGGTTTAGTGGGTTATCTCTTGATCACGTCAGAGTATGCCCAGATGAGAGGCAAGGAACTGTGTGGCCGTTGCGTGTGATGAATAGCCTTTAGAGACAGGGCTAAAACCTTATCGTTATATCATCACACGACATGTATTTAGATAGTCGTTTTGATATTCACTAATGAGGGTGAAGCGTGTACATGTGTGAGAGATTACCCCTATGCATCGTAGAGTCATGGTTGCATCATGGTCTAAAGGATCATGATTTTTGTCTCTAGGGGAGAATCTGAAACCCATAAACTGCGATTGCACCCCCGAGTCTATTGGCTGACTTTGGTGGGCCAATCATGAACCTCTGCAGTAGACTGTGGGTTATGGGAACTGTTGGGTTAGTTTGAGAAAGCTCGAGAGATCGTGACTCGCAGTTGAAGGTGGAGTGCTCCCATATATTGATAATTTCCTAGATTTAACGGATCTGATTCCCATCAAAATTAATTAATTTTATGTTATGTGATTTTTAGAATGTTTATTTTATTTTTTTTTAATCTTATGATATTTTATTTTTGTCATTTGGATTTATAAATTAAGAGAAATTAATTTTTCAATGTTTTAAATAAAATATAAGATTTAAAAATTCTAAAAATAAAATAAAATATTTTCTAAAAATACATGGGACCTCCATGGGGCCAAAATTTTAAAAGATGTAGTTTAGGTGGGCAAAAATTTAAAAAGATGTGGATTAGGTGGGGCCCACACGTGGACACCAAAAGTGTGGCACGCCCCACGCATTCACGTAAGTTCCACCTATTCACGTAACATTCTTGGGAATAATGTTTATCTTTTTGCTTGGTAAATCTTTGAATCAAGATTGGTTGATCTAATAAT